AAAAGATAAACATGTTGCACAAAGCTCACAATCGTTGCAGGGAGCGTTGCGGTGGAGCGCTCCTGGATCAGAGGGTCACTGTCTGGAGCCAGCTGAGGAAGGACCAGGGCTCTGAATCCCGCAGAGCCGGTCCAGGGGTTGTCACGGATGAGGGGAATAAACACAGGTTGTCGCAAACACTTCTCTGTTTGCCAGAAGAGGGAACATGGCTCTTCCCTCTAGTGGAGAAGGCCCTGAGCACCCCCCCCCGCCCCCCCCCCCCCTTGTCCAAAGGCTTTTATTTAGAACCTTATGCACAGGGGTATGGATGCAAAGCTCATCAAGCAATGTCAAAAGGCCATGTTTACAGAAAACAGAGAGAGATCATAGATAACAATTGAAGGAACACAAGAGATCTGTCTCAGGTCAGGAACTATGAATAATGTAAATCTCCTTCCCAGTATGAGCTGGTTATTATAGGTTTTAAGGGGAGAACAAAGGAACTTCAAGGAACTTACTTTTAGGCCTGATTTCCCCCTGGGAACCTCCTGATCCAGTTTAGAGCTGTACCTGCCTTTAGTATTGTTTCAAGCCTGAGCCAGGCTGGTGGGGTAGAGCCAGCAAAAGATAAAGATAAGGAGACTTCTTTAAAATAGAATGAGGACTCCGGCCACATCCAAGCCAAGCCTAGGAGTGCAGGCCTTTTTTGCCCTTTGTCTGTGTCCCCCAAGTCCTTGTCTGCTGCCCATACCGGCCGTGTCCATCTTAGGTCGTCCCTCCTCATGAGAGATCTTCCCCGTCTTTGACTAACTGACCATCACAGGGCCAAGCAGGCTGCGACCCTGCGAGGGGGACAGGTTTCATCTCCTCAGTGGACTATTTTCCCAAGGCCTCCTTGATTATTTCCAGCCTTGGGGCCCTCTCACCTGTCAGTGAGGCTACAGTCCCTGAAACCAGGCGGGACCTTTCCCAACACACAATGTTTTCATTTTTCATCTAGATTTATAAGGAGCACCCTAAGGTAGTACATATCCTCATAAACATTGCAAAAGCTCAGCTTTGGTGATGGTCCTCATGTCTTCAGTTCCCAATATCCCTTCAGCCTTGGTCCTTCCCCTCTAGTTGGGGAGATTGTTGGGTTATATTGCATAAACTGAAATGTCCTTTGCATTTTAATGTACTATGCCCAAATCCTCTCCCCTTGTGAGGGAGTGGTAGGAAAGGAGTATGACAGAGCCAAATATTAAAGAAAACTGGTTTCCTTGGTACCAAAATCAAGGTGAAGAACCATGACTGGGGAAAATAAAGAACAGAGGCAGCCAAGCCAGTTGTGGACAACTAGAAAACTTTAGGGTTTAAAAGCACGGTGAGATCAGACTGAGAAGAGAGCAAGGATGAGTTCAGGATGGATACAGTGTTATCTGGGTAAAAACAAAAGAATACTTAGAACACATGTTTTGGGAGAGCTGATGCATGGTGAATGTAAGTGTCAGGGCAGCTTAAAGTGCCAAAGATCCAGTGGGGAAAATGAAGTTAACTATGAATTTACACTTTCTTTTCCTAAGTGTTTTTATATTAGTGTTATATCACTGATAGTGTTGGCAAGAACATTTATTCACTGGTTCTATAGCTATTGAGTTCTATAGCTGTAAACATTTACAGCTAATTCTGGTAGTTGGAAATAGGAACATTGTTCTATTGTGGATGAGAAGGATCCTGAAACATTGTTAGATAGATTGTGTAGTGAACCCCAGGAATAAACATATTCAATAGATAGAAATGGTGTTCTCTGGAGTTAACTGGTATAGTGGTTCTGATATTGCTGATGTTTTTGTCATACAGCTTATTGTAGTTGCTCTCAATCTTTCAGAGCCTGCCATTTAGCCCTTTAAAGTAGAGGAAGCAGTTTCTCTCTTGTCATTATACTTTGGTTCCTGGTAGACAGGCCTATCTAAAGTGTTTCTTCCTATTCTTCAATATTTTAAGAACAATGGTTTATATATCTACAATGTTTAAACAACAAAAACAATAACACATAAACTCACACATATCATATTTAATAATTCATTAAGAATTAGATAATAGCCCCAGCTGGTGTGGCTCAATGGATTGAGGGCTGGCCTGTAAACCAAAAGGTCACAGGTTTGATTCCCAGTCAGATCACATGCCTGGGTGGTGAGCCAGGTCCCCAGTGGGGGGCACATGAGAGACAAGCACACATTGATGTGTCTCTCCCTTTCTTTCTCCTTCCCCTCTCCTCTCCCTAAAAATAAATAAATAAGATCTATAAAAAAGAGAATTACATAATAGTTGATTATTCAAACAAGTATAATGCATATTTTTTATCTATAAATGCATTTTAGGGAACTCAATTTTTGAATTTATTTCAATACACAAAAATAGAAAAATTCAAGTATCATTTTAATATCAAAAATAAATTAAGCCTCCAGCACTTGGCTATTGTAAATTGTGATGCTATGAACACTGGGGTGCATAGGTTCTTTTGAATTGGTGTTTCAGGATTCTTAGGGTATAATCCCAGCAGTGGAATTACTGAGTTTAAAGGCAGTTCCATTTTTAGCTTTTTGAGGAAATTCCATACTGATTTCCACAGTGGCTGCACCAGTCTGCATTCCCACCAACAGTGGACTAGGGTTCCCTTTTCTCCACAACTTTGCCAGCCCATGTTGTTTGTTGATTTGTTTATGATGGCCATTCTGACTGGTGTGAAGTGCTATCTAATTATGGTTTTAATTTGTATCTCTCTGGTGGCTAGTGACGCTGAGCATAAGGGGGTAGGATTGAGGATGCGAGGTAGGGGTGAGCGAGGTGGGGGAAGTGGTGATGGGAAAATGGAGACAACTGTACTTGAACAACAATAAAAAAGTTTCTTTACCTTGAAAAAACACCTAAAAATAAGTTAAGCCCTAATAACTTTGACTTTACAAAGTTTCAAAATAGTACACATTTTAATTTGTGATTGGCTTCATTTTGAACTGTTCAGCTAGGTTATTTAATTGATATACTGACATAGTATATCAATTCTTCCATATTTTAATGTCCACTTAATATTGCCCTTAGTTTATAATTCAAGTTATACTTTAAAAATTCTAGCATATGAATAGGGATTCTGTCCTCCTCATAATATAGTAGTTGTTATAGACACATTTAAGACTAGATTATCTTTATTATAAGGGTGAAAATAAGAGAAATAAAAGAGAACAGGAGAAAATCAATGTTTTCTTTGTATATTGGAGAGGTAAGAACAATGAATTGAACTAAGAAAATGATTATAAAATCAGATTTTAAGAATATGGACTTTGAAGATAACTACTGCTTTTCAAAGTTTGCCTCTTATACCTGAAATAGCTTATCAGCCATCCACCATTTGAGAAGTATAACTCTCCCCTATCTACAACTTGTGATTAGCTAGGAAAAAAAAGTGAAATGATTCAATCTTATATATTCTAAACACTCCAGGTTGCAACTAGCAAAGTCATAGTTACCTGGAAGGCAGACAGCACAGCAATTTATTTAGACCCAGGTAACAGAACCCATGGGAAAAATTTAAAAAAGAAATTCTAATTGACATGGATTTTATTTATTTTTTTTCCTTTCTTTTTCTTCTTCTTTTTTTTTTATTAATTTATTTACTTTTTAAATACATTTGTCTCTGCCTTCCCCCCACCTCTTTCCCTTGCCCCCTCCCTCCTTCCCTCCCTCAGCTCTTCCCCTTTGGTTTTGTCCATGAGTCCTTGCTATATGTTCCTTGACTTTCCCCTTCCCTTCCCTTTCCCTGCCCCCCCCCCCTTCCCTCTTGTCTCTGTTGATTTCTTTTCCTTTCAGTGTTTCTGGTCATATTTTCCTTGCTTCTTTGCGTTGTTAGTTAGGTTCTGCTTATAGGTGAGATCATATGGTATTTGTCTTTCGCGACATGGATTTTAGATTTAGATTACCATAACTAAATTTTGTATTCATATAAAATTAATTATTCTTATTACTTTTATAAGTTAGGCATTATTATAACAGTTTTGGTGACAGAGTAAGATGAAAACAAAAATAAGATTGATTCAGAAAACAGACCATTTAATGGAGTCATTGTTTCATTTTTCAGTTCTTTTTGGTATGCCTTGAAATATGAGTTTTAAAGACTTGTGCAAGGAGGGGAGAAGAGTAAGGGAAGAGGAGCGTGCCTCTTAAAATTTACATAGGTCCATTCTTCCTTTGCCATGATTCTCTGCTTTCAAATAAATAAAAATTCCATTATTTCAAAAGGACTATTTTTCCCCCAAGTCTAACTCATTTGGGGATATTCTTTCATTTGTGATTATATCTTTATATTTTTAACTTATTGCAATTTCCCCTGAAATATTAAAAATAAAAATAATTTAATATGTTTTTATGATCACTTAACTTTTAGTTTGAGAGCCATAAAGATATTTTTAAGTTTATTGTGTCAGTTATATATAGTATAGAAAGTGTACCTCTCTTGGGAAAGTTAATAATTTTGGAATCTGAAGCATGACTAGTTTATTATATTTCTATCCTCCTACCAAGCCATCTGGCTTGGAATCGAGAATGAGTATGAGATTTCCCCAAAAGAAAAGTAACATTTAGTTAGGTTAAGTGTCAAATTGCTAGCATACAGTGTGTAAAAGTCAATATGTACCAGGTGATATTAGTGAATTTCATCTACACTGCTAGGAGGTTGTTGAACTCAATTACAGAAATGTGCAGAGCTCTATTTGATGTGTGACAAGGTTAGGAGACCACAATCAATTAAAAAGAACACATGTATATCCTATTCTGGGGAAATAGTTGTTATGGTATCCCTTGTTCAGTTTCTGCTTTTTTCTCTGACTTTTCCTCTGAACATAGGAGAACAAAGGTTCTAATAATTCCCCAGTTTCATTTAGAATTGTTTTGTCAGCAATATCTAATAGGAAGACATGAGATTGTTGTTTCACTTGTATGAAGCTTCAGACAGCTACAATTAAACATGCCGTATTTTTTTTTTGTAGCAAAACCTTTTGAAAATGGGCAGTATTTGGACATTTATGGAATTACCAGGGACCAGGCTGGAGAATATGAATGCAGTGCAGAAAATGATGTGTCATTCCCAGACGTGAAGAAAGTAAAAGTTGTCGTAAACTGTAAGTCCCATCGTCTTTTATCAAAATAATCTCAGAGAAAAACATTAAGCACCTAAAAATGCTGTCTGAAATTTATGTTTCTGTTTTTAAGAGGTGGTCTATTGATAAAGATCACCTATTGACTGTGAAAATGTATATCTGTTAAAATGTTGATCAAACTGTTTTATGTAGCATCAATTATTCCAAATATACCATCAAAATTCAGCTTAATGTGAGATGGAAATGTTTCCAATATCATCCTAGTGTCTGGCATTCTAAACTGTGGTGTCCTTATCTCTAAAGCACTGTAGGCACATGGTGTCTTCTTCATTCTCATAGGCTTCACCCATAGTATATTTTGACTCAATTTAAGTGTAAAGCTCCTATTCAAACCTGGTGGAAATGAGCTGTACTGGTTTGTATTAAAAAAAATAAAAGCCATTACTATACTGTCCCTATTACTTAGGGTATTTAAATATATTTAGTTTGAAAAATATTGAGAAAAATAAATTCTCTGATAACCATAATTATTAGGAAGTCAGAATAGTGAGAAATATCTTCAGAACTATCAATACCATTATGTTATACCTCTTCTCTAAATGCATCCAAAACACTGATGCAAGACATTTTTTCATTAACATCCTATTTTGTATTTTATGGTTTCAATAGCCATGACTGCAATAGTTTTACTTTTCAAAAACACCCCCATAGTCTTTCTCTCAAAAAAATTTACATTCTTTAACTTATTAAAATAAAGTACTTTTGGGGTAATAGTATTTTACCAACTATTAACAAGCTATAGCTTTTGATTTTTTTCATTTCATTTCTAATAATTTATACATAGTATCACACTATAGTCAGAAGAAATTGTTCCAAATATATTCCAAAATTGTAAAACAAAGCAGTTTTTTTCATATTAATATGAATCTTTCAGTTTCATGGGCCGAAAATAGCTGTCTAAATATCCTTGGCAGTTGAGTGTCTGCCAGGGCAAATCACTGTCATCAACTAAGATTTTTTTGTGACTAATCCATACATTTGGGCTTGAACTATCTCTATGAGACTGAGCAAGTGTGCATAATGCAAGATCAAGAAGCAGAATATCTCATAAAATCTGCAGACAAACTTTAGATTCACCCAAGAAGATCATTAAAAATAAAAAATTTATATGTCCTACATTGACCCTACTGAATCAAAATCCTTGGAGTATATTACCTGGAAATCTGCATTTATAATAAGTAGACATTGAGTCTCAGAACTCCTGTTGCAGAGGGCTATATCTCATCTCCCTGGAACTGTTTGAAATTAGAAGTAAAAAAGCAAGTAAAAAGTTATGATTATTTTATCACTAACCATATATAAGTTCACTGATTTTATTGTTGAAGTTGTGGGAAGGAAGAAATAGAACTACTAAGGAAGTAATATTTTTAGCAATGAGCACAGAGAAGTAAAAAGGTAGAGTCTAACTATCAAATTAGCAAGGCACCCAGCCCAGCAATGCAGCCCATTCTAAAACTACCATCCAGGACTGATGTCTCCAGTGGGGATGAAAATGAAAATCCAACTGCTGTAAGGATTCCCGTGGGCCCATACTCCATGTACAATGCAGATTCCTTTTGTAGTCACACTTTCTTTCTTATCCTTTTTATCCCTCTGACTTTAGTTGATTGTCACATTATGTAACCTGATATTTTTTTTTTCCTGGACAAATGGAAACCTTACACTAAGTCAGCAGAAATTTGGAGAGGAACTGAATTAAAAGATTTAAATGACCAGCTAATGCGTCACCATCTACTGGGTGTGAGTGTCAAAGAGAACCCTTAGACATATAAAACAGGACAAGAAAGAGGAACATGACATCAAGAACTGTGAAAGGTCTGCCAGTTTCGTGTGTGCTGGTAGGAGACAAAGGGCGTTCATTACTCACAGCAACAGAAGTAGCCAGAGCATTGGCATTCTCTTGCATCATTCCCCCAAGCCCCAATTACTACAGGCTGATACGATGAGGGCTAGGTGACACCTACATGCCCACTGGGTTTATGTCATAGCTGAGGATCCCCGAGCTTAGAAAATTCAATTTATTTTTATCAATAGCAACAAGCAAACCTGCCCTTTACCACAGAGGGAGAAATTATCTTTATTATACTGGACTGTAAACAAACCTGCCCTTTGCTCCATAGGAAGAACTAGTTCTGCCTTCCCAGACTGTTCACCATACACACATTCTTGAAAAGAGAGAAGGGAACAAAAGCTGTCAGTGTCTCTGCTCCCAGACATGCAGAAACACAAGAGACCCTTGGGGAATTGTTTTCCAACATAGGATGGGAGCAGGAAAGTTTGAAACAGCCTAGAAACATTTCCTCAGCTGAAAAGTGTGCTTCAGTGGCTTTTGTTGGGTAGGACAGAAGACTTTGTTAATCAACTTTAACTTAGAAAGGGAAACAAACAAGAAGTAAAGGGAAACTTTTTTTTAATGTTAAGGAGGTTGCTATTTTTTTTTTATCAGAACACAGAAAAACTTTTTTTAACAATTAATTTCAGTTAAAGTACAATCCTAAGTACAAGTTGTGATACACATACAATATTAACATAGCTCTCACTAAAATACGGACCTAATAGAATTTTTAATGATTTTGATCAATCATTTTTGCCTTCTCCCACTTCCCAAATTATACTAAGATAACTTACCTTTTCCTAAATGTGCCATGAAGAATTGTATTTAATGCTAATTAATCCATTATATTCACATCTCTTGAATTAGTATTTCATGTAAGAGATGAGTTCTTTTTAGACTTCTGGTCAAGACCTAAGTTTTGCCTTTGTTTGAAATACTAATGTCACCGTATACCAACAACATCTAAGTCAGGTAGGCATGTGAGTGTATGTGTACACATGTTCCTGGTTATGAGGAGGTTTGAGAAGTGTTAATTTTGTGAACTTAAAAGTAAAAGAATGAGCATTACTGTGGATTTTACTGAGCTGATTTCCCAAAGGAAATTAGCCAGACCCTACTGAGTGAACTTTATTTTGTCAAAGCTCAAAATTGAGCACAGTGGTCTAGGTTGCCAACACAGAACTGCACATCCCCTGACAACCTGAAGATTCTGTGATGACAGAATCATGCCAGGTTCAAGGCAGCCCTCCATTTCATTGTTATTAATCAATATCGATTGTGCTTATAGAACTGCAGTAGCTTTTTGACTTATAACTTAAAAAGAAACTCCATCCTTTTTCCCAAATGGAGTTCAAGAAAAAACTGTAATACATTTTTATAAGTTCTAATAGATTTAGTCATGTGGTAAGTTGATTTGAGAAAGAGATTTGGGTTTTCTGCAAGTTAGAAATGTTTAATGTTTACTATTTATCTAATACATCTGCCACATTTACTATATGTATGTGTATATATATATATATAAAACACACACATACAATAAAAATGACATATTTGCCACATACTTTATACTTATAGCACTATTATATGAATTTCTATTCAATTTAATTAAACAGTGATGTAGTAATTAAATAATTGGTATTATTAACTTATTTTATATAGATTGGACTAATTGGTTAATTTAATAAATCAGCTTATTTTGAATTACAGATTTTCTGGGTGACTGTTCTCTTTGTCTTTATCTATATTTTGTTTCATTAATTTATAGATAAAATTATAAATATATAAATGTATTTATATGTATATACACATGGAAACTAAATATGTAACTATGTGTTTATATATTTCATGTCAAATAGAAAAAAACAAAATAATAAAAAGGAATTTGACAGTTACTGTAATTGGACCTTAAGGGATTAATACACATACACGTAACAAGAGGGAAAAAAATTGGACCAATTGATTAGCTAAGTCAGAGAAACTAGTGGATTAGAGTTGGACAAATTCTCTGTTTTATTTATGCTTGTATTTCATCCCTAGAAGCAGCCTAGAGAATACTTGTTTCATAATTTTTATTGTTACTTTAAAATAACCCAGAAGAATGAATGATTTCCAAAAAAACCCATGGGTTCTATTGAAATGGGAAAATACAAGAACCAGGAAAGTCTGATAAGGGAAGGAGAGACCAGAGTCTAAAAAATTATCAGTGTTAACTTATTTGCAGCTAAATCTTGAATCTGGAAAATTTAGAAAGTAAACTAATTAAGTAATGCAGATCTCTACAGGGAAGCAGAATCCCAGATATTAAGCATTAGGAAGGCCTGAAAGACCTAGTCCTTCAAAAGGAGTGCCACGAGTAGAAGGGGAGGGTGCTCTGATCTGGGGATGGGGGCTGGGCTCCACACTGCTTACTCTGCCAGTTAAGGGTAACTGCTTTAGAAATGTGGACCTTATAGTCAGAAATAACTTATTTGAACCCCTGTTCTGTAGTTTATTGGGCTTTGAGACCTTGACACACCACTTTACCTTTCTGAAGCTCAATTTCCAATTCTGTACGCTGAGGACAATAATATATAAATTCCAAGGGTTTGGTAAGATTAAATGGGATGATGTACATACGATGCCTGTAGTGCCTGGTTTTCTGTAGGTGGCTGAATAAAATCAATGTTTCTCTTTCTTTCTCCCTGTCCCTGTCTACGTTTACTATAAGAGTAATATGAGTAAGAATATGGGATCTATGCAGTAAGAGATTTTCCTTTCCTTTGTATAATGATGTGTCTTGTCACATAGAACAGCACCGAGTCCATAAGAGACACCCCCAAAATACTATTGAATGAATTAGTTATTTAAAAGATTACCATTCTTTAAATAAATTACTACACAGAACAGGAAGATATTAGATTGGTTTAAAAATTTCATATTTTTCTCCCAAGATAATATGTAAATGGTATGTTGACTAATGTACTTCCAATATTATTTTTTTAAAACAAGTTGTTCAGGTGGATTCAATAAATGTAACATAACATGTAGATAGTTCTTTTAACCAAAGACAGGAAGCACTAATTCTGTGTTTTTCATAGATAATAAAATTGAGATTCAGGGAGATTAAAACATTTAATAACCTCCCTGA